TTATAAGGGATGAATAGGGCCAAGTCCCTATCTTAGGTTTTGCCTAGAAAGCCTCATGACTTCTGAAGACTCTCCCCACTCCTCTACCCAGCTGACCTCCCCACTTGCTTGCAATGCTGGCAACTATTTTAAGAGGATGAAAACATTTAATTTTACAGGTAAAAACTGAAGATGGCAACGCCTGGTTTAAGGGGCTCCTGTTAGTGTGAATGAGTTGTCAAGGGGTTTGGGTTTGTTGGGCAGCCAGCGTAAATGACTACTGTCAGATCCTTCTCTTTTAATAGGTTGGGGGGCATGGACACCTGAGTGGGGTGGTGGGGTGAATATACAGGATGAGAAAGCTGAAGATGACAGATTTTGTCCTGCTGACTTCAGCCTAGTTATCCTGTTGTCCACACTTAAAACTAGTTGAGATTGTTGCCCAGAATGAGGTGAGCCCTGATTATTTTCACTTGGGCAGAAAGAAGTAGAAGCTGAATACTGAATTTTTGATGATGAAGCTGTAAAAACAGGCATTGTAGGGCTTATATACATTCTTTAAAACAATTCTGACTCTGCATAAAGTAACATTTTTCCATATTGCTTGTTAGTCAAGCTATCAGGCTTAGACTTATGTCCCAAGAGATGTGCGTGACACAAGCCCTCAGTGAATATGGATTTCCCTTCTCCCCTTCCCTCACTTAAAGGTTTAGTTGGGTCACATCGATCTGTATTCCATTTATACCTCTGTGGGACAGCTGTTCTTAAGAGCTAGGGGGTCTTGTAAATTTAGAGACGCCTTTCAGGGAGCAAAAAAATATATTTCTATAATACTGCTAGTTTCTTATAAGTGTCATTTAGAATGCCACCAATGCTGTTTCTTAGAGTTACAGAATCTTTTTCTATATGTTTTGGTTAATTGTAAGACTTGGAAAATCTAAAAAAGAGGCATCGAATTATTAATTTATTTACTTTTAAAATACCTACTGTGTGTCCAAAGCATTATATAGAAAAAGTAGGAAATATATTAGAGCAGTTTGCATTTAGTTGGGTAGCTAGATACACAGGTCTAAAGTTATGGTAAAGAAAGCATAGAAAAGTTTTTTTCTAATTTTACAGAGTGCTTTCATTTATATTTGAGATGAGTGAGGGCAAGCATTTTCATCCTCATTTTGCAGGTGAAACAGGAAACCATCTCATGTCAAGCAGCTATTCAATAGCAGAACAGGCACCCAAACTCCCCTGTCAGTTCTAGCTGCCTTTCCAGTGTGGACAGTGGGAAGGGGAAGGGAACCAGGCAGAGAGATATGTTTGAACCAAGCCTTGATTTGTCTTTGAATGTAGAGGCCGCCTACCACAGCTTCCTCGGAAGGGTGTGTGAGTGTAGAAGCCATGTCAGAAGCCCTCGACTGTCCCAAGGCTCACCCTGTTACTCACCAATCCCTAGGAGCCTCATCCTCAGGCTGGAGGTGTGTAACAGGGAGAGGTGTCTGTTGCACATAATACTTGGTATTAAACAAGCCCTTGGCTTTGTATTTGTTCTTCAGGGCTAACCACAAGGCCACACCAAAGTGGCTGAGATGTAAACAAGCAGGGCTAGCAAGTTGGACTGGGGCCTTTTCATTGTTGAGTGTAGAAAGCAGGTGAGAATGGCTGTGATAATTATAGACAAGGTTAAAGGGACGGTGACTTGGAGTTATACTGCCTTCTCTGTGGTCCAGGCATTTACTTTTGTTAGAGCTCTCCGCAGAATTTGCCGGTCTTTCTGCCTCCAGAGACCTGGTGCACAGGAAGTGTTCAGTATTGGTTAAGTGATAGTTGCACTTTTTTGAAAAGACATAAATAGGATTTTTTCCCTCTCAGTCTACCTTTCTTTAATGTGGAAATATTTTTAAAAGAAATATCAAGTCAATCTCAGCATTTAAATTTTCGATATTGTAAATGCAAAGGTATAGTTAGGCCATTCTTTGATTTCATTAGTTCTGGGTTAATATCACGTTGGTTACTGCCATTGCATTTCAGAGACATTCCCTTCAAGGCTCTTCCTCTAAAAGACTGAAGGTAAAAGCAACTGAACTTTGTTTAATTGACTAACATTTTAAAGGACACTAAAGGTCACAGCCTGGGTGATTGCAGTTATTTTATTAATTTTGAACCACTTTGCTGCTGCCTTTCAGTACATTCACGCCTTTTCTCTAGGATTACAACTCTCTTCCTTCTGCTCTGCTTGTCATGTGTGGGTTTCACATGCCAGCGTCTTTTTAATGCAAGTTTATTCAGCACTGGATATGTGCAAGGCCTAGCTAGGCCCAATGGTTTCAGGAACACAAAGATGCATAAGAGACATCCTCTCCTGAGTAATCCTGGTGGGGACCACAATGGGGACTCAAGTAAAGTTCAGACTAAACTGTGCCGGAGGTGGTCAGGATGTAAGGGAAGAGGAG